TTTACCAGCAAAACGTTAATTTGCGATACCCTCGGTAGCTGTAACAGCTGTGTCGCTTCTTTACATATAGTAAGCAAATATAGTAAGCAAATATAGTGAAGCGGGAGGCTCAGAACGCGAAATATTGGGTCAATACGTTCGCATTGAGCTGCACATTATAAAGCAAGCATGGTATAAGAATTTGTAACAGCGGGTAACTTCCTACTGAGATCTTTTGCTTCACATAGCTGTTTTCGGCGCACAACTGATCGATACGGCGTTGAGCCCTGGTCAACTGGCTGCAGTAGTCGCCGTAGCAGACGAAGTGGCCTTTGTATTTCACGAAAACGTCGCCTATGCGATGAGTCGCCGCCGCAGCCTCTGTCCCTGTCCCGGTCGGTGTCCCCGGCGTAGCGCACGGCGTCGTTGGCGATGAGATCAATCCCACGGACAGCCGAACGGCCTTCCATAATTCCTTTTTGAACGACGCGTGAATATGCACTAAAAGCTGCAAACAAACGACGTACAAAAGTCGGTCAAAACAACAAGCGAAAAGAAAGATACCGGCAAGTTCATGAAAACCGTATTATGGTCTTCGGCACTAAGAACGTCCTTGAGCGGAGTGTAGAACTGCTAAAACAAACGCTTTGCATGACTAAACTGTCAGCACAAGACAGAACATTTTAGATGCAAATATGTTTTACGCGACTTAAACCTCGAACGCGAACATAATCATCATGCATCAACACATTAAATATATCGTATACCACCGCGGGGGGGCGGGGTAGATGACAATACGGCGTACAGTTTATGACCATTTTCCATGAAGAAAATGCAATCAATGCCTATATTTGAAGGAGTCGTACCAAAATCGCCTAGATCATGCGAAAAGTGCATTACCATTTACTAGCCGGTGCGAAAGCGTCGCGTTCCTTCTTGAGACAGCTAAGGTAAAGTAATTTTCACCACTGTATATCGATGCAAAGCTGCCTTGCAATTCAGCTGCTGATTTTATCCAGGAAACTCACAGAGTTTCGGACTAAACCTCTGTTCGAACGTTCAAATTAACATGCGTTCTGCAATCTCGATGGTGCAATCAAGGGCAAGGGTGTATGCAACAGAATCAGTTAGATCCTTCTGCGTAGTTAATGGGATCATCATTGCCTAGTCTCGATGTCCACGTTCGTTTGTCTCGAGCAATGTGTCGCCACAACTCTCAATACCTTACTGTAATCAATATTTTTCATTTCATATCAGTTGAGGTCTTCCTGTAGGACTCTTACAGCCTTGGGTATCACTCCGCTATTCCCGAAGTCCACCAGTCATCCGCCGTAGTACCGAGCTGCACGCAAAGGACTGGGGGCCATTTCTGATTGCGCTTCCATTCCGTTCGATCATGACAAAAGGATTTAGCCTCTGTCCACGCTTGTCAAAATTCATAAACAGAGAACTCATCTGCGCTTCACCCCGGCTGAATGGGGTTCCAGGTGACGGTTCTGTGAGGCTTGGTCCGGTCAAATATTTTTTCGATGATCTCATCACTGCCACTCAAGAGGTTCCTCTTCCGCACCACGAAATGGCGCCTCTTCTCGCACGACCCGCCATATACTTCAACAGTAAACTGCAAAATATAGGATACGCTGAAGATCATGGAGCAGCACAATGCCAAAAGCACTACCAGAACAGCAGAAAGTTCCGCATGACCAAAGAGTCTCAATGAAATATGGAAATTTATTCAAGCGTTTCGTCCACTGGACGATCCGTTACCGCTATGTTTGCCATTGCCGTTTAAGGAGAACAAAATCTTAACAGCAGAGTAGCCGAGGGATATTATATTCCAGGGTTACAAACGATAACTGATTAACAAATCGAAATGGTGCAAAATGAGTACAAGTTTCTAACAAAAGTGATTTGCAGGCGTGTGTGGAAGAGAAGCTAGATTCGACGTTTCGTCTTTGAAACAGAGACTTGCTCAGGGTAACAATACGAAATATGACGCAGAACATCATCAATACATACAGTAAATAATAAAAACAAAATGAATTACATAACAGCACAACAACAGTCAGAAATAAGCTTTCCTTCCTCAAACGCCTGCAAACGATTTTTCTTAAAACACTATGCATATCATCTGTCAGGTGGCAATTCTAAGTATAAGTTTCTAAAGGTGAATAAACTATCATGTTTCAAATTGTTTGAGAATGCTTTGTTGCTAATATATTAACGTCACCTAAGACTAGCGAACGGCAGAGTAGACCAAATTTGACTGTTCCTTAGCAATGGCATTTCAGATTATTACCAAATAAACTTGCTATTTCTCATCAAAAGCAAGTCGGTCACATTGAGTGCTTTCAAGTTTTGTATTGAATTCGAACGTGTCTATTGTCCATATCCTTTTTCGCTTAGGAGAAACGGATTCAACATATTTACAATTTTTCAACAATTTTATCAAAGTAAACAACCCGCGGCTCCCTGACTTTTTCCAACAGTTTTCTCAGTCCGACAGTAACACCCCACTAATTCATTACGACTAGGCTGAACCATCGCACCTTGAGGACAGTTAGTGAGTAGCGTTATTTGAAGCTATCGAAACGAGCTTCATAACGTCGCAGAATAGCATAAGTATGTGGACTGTACATAAGCATCGCGAATAAGGCCGTCATCAGGACGGTGATCTTCGTTGCTACTCTACTTCTACAGTTTGGTGTTTCAATATTTTAAACAGCTTCCAGTGATTTATTGAAGGCAATCTAATCCGTGCGTTCAATGCAACATCAGTACCGTTATGATTTGCTCACACAGCTAAAAGACAGTCGAAAAGATTCATCTAAGCTACCGCCATAACAAACTTTTGTATCCTCGACAAGAGCCCCCATTATCTTTCTTTTCTACGCGTTCTCATGGCCGTGTTGCAAACGCTTCTGTTGAGCGTCATTAGACCACTTGCAGAGTTGTTCCATAGCATGATGTCATCCGCACACTGACGGTACTTTAAAAACACCGTTGGGTTACTCGAGCTGCATCGGTGAGTTATGATAAGCAAGAAGTTGTCCTTTGTTCTTTGGTACAAAGCCTTTCACCGTATCCCGCAGTCCATCACAAACAGAGGAAAGAGCGATTGGCATCGGCGAACTCCACTGGTCTAGCTAAACCAGTCGAAACTATCAACGAGTTGTGACAGTATATTTTGCCTCTTCATATATTTTTATCAAGCTTACCGTTGGCCATGGCATTCCATATTGAAATATTACGCATCACATTATCCGGTGAAGAACGGAATCGAACGCTGTCAGAGAGTAATGAAACAAGGCTGCCAAAACCGCTGAAAAATACTGTGCCGCTCGATGATCCGTTTCAACGTAAAGATGTCCGGGCATCAGTGAATGCTCCGGAATCACGCCTGACCTCGCAACAATAACTGATAACCTCCATCGATATTACAAGGAACATATGCGACAGCAGTTTCTCTACTAAGGAATGATGAGTTATTTTTCGACATATAGTATAAGGAACGGTTTCTGGACTTGAAAATCAGAAAGATCATGCTATTTTTTGCTTTGCTTTGCCCTATGAGTATATCCAGAATTCTAGAATTAGGCTGATAAGGTTTTCGCCTCTGAACTTGAGATTTTCCGAATTCTATCAGCACTGAAGAGGGAAGCATCTTTGTGAAGATGAATGCCAAGTTTTCAAAGCAGATTATTGCCCTGTAAGACAATATAAAAATTTAAGTTTTTAACCGATAAAATGCTGATCTTTCTTACACTGTCATAACGGGGACATTCCTGGCGCTTTTCATGAATTTAACGGTGGGGTGCTGATCTCATTTTTTATGCCATCAGACAGGAGTGCCTTACTTTCAAGACAAAGTCGACAGCATCTATGTGGAAAGCACATCATAGTGAATAGCTCACTGCTTCATTTTCACAGAGCGGTACTCATTGATCTACCTCGTAATGAACAAAGTGGAGTGACCACAATCATGGCTCGAAGTGGGAACCTTTTGCTTCTGAGTCCTTCTACCACCTGAACACCCGGTCGATATAAGAGTCCACGACGACTCCTCAAGATGCTTATTACAGATATTGCAGATGACAAAATGTCGACCAAGCAAACAGGCTTCTAAGCGTCAAACCTCTAACATACATTTGGAATGCATTCGCGCCAGGCACTGATGCTTTTGAGAATACAGAGAGACCCCGATTTACGTAACTAAACTTAAAAGGGCATTGAAGACTTTTACTCAACGCATCTCAGTTGTCTGCAAGCTACCTAACAACGGTCTTCCGCAAGACAAACAGCCCGCATGGTGAACGCAAGCGTTTTTCTCAATCTCGCTATCGAACACGAAAGTGCTGCGTTTTTCTATTCATACAGTTTAACAAAATTTTTGTTTGAGTGCATTGCTGTCGAGTACAATCATGACAAAAAAAACAGGAAGAAAGCAGAACTAACGTTTAAAACGTCAATGTACTACTGCACACAAATACCATAGAGAAGTAAGCAAGAGTCTGCGATTAACGGGTGCGGAGGTTAAATCCGCCGTAAGAAACTTTGGTCGAATGGCCAAATAATGCATTTTTCATTTCTGTTTTCTCCTATTATTAATATTACTACATTGTATTAATAACGGCATACTGAACTCAAACTTATGTGTGAAGCCTGCGAGAAAAAAGCAACATAAGTAAACTTTAAAGCATGTTAATCTATCACTGCAAACACATCAGCAACAGGGTGTGATTAACGCAGTAGGGCGGGTCGACCTAAATTCGATTTAATCCGTAACGTTCTTTTTACGTAAAGGTTTGCGGAGCGTAACTCTAATGCAAGTCAAGGTCTGTCTGTAAAGGCTGTTCGAACATAGTTAGGCAAGAGTGGCGATGCGCACAGATCGAAACTAACTAAAATTATAAAAATCATACCCATACCTGAATGAGCAAATTCAAGCCGTCCACGTATTTACATTCAGTGTCGATCAACTCCTTGA